TAAGTTTAGCCCCCCCTACCATGGCTTTGACCAACGCCTTATCCCCCCCCCCCTACAATTTTTTTCTGGTTACGCCCCTAAACGCAATGCCTCACTAACATTTGAGAATGACGGTATTTGTATCAGACATATTGATTATGATCATAGATTTATTTATTTTCGTGGTTAAACGTATTTAGGTATGACTATCATATTTTGAAATTAAAAATTGAACTAAATACACTGCTTGGAATCGTTTTATTGGTATTTGTCCTTCCAATATTATATAAAGTTCCAAAAGAATGATTGCATAAGGATATTAACAGATCAATCGATAGTGATCCCTGTTTCGCTTCATTGAAGATATCTTTGTCTTACTAAGTTTTACAGTAGAGACTTGTTTGAAAGTCATCGATTTAGATTTTCATGACGACAGTATCTAACAGGTCCTAACTCTTTTTTGCTTTCACTATACAGAAAACGGATGAAATAAATGTTTTTTCTTAATTATATTCACTAGTCAACAAATGGTCAATAATGCTCTGGGTAAAATTAGTGAGTCTGTTTCAATCTAAAAATAATATAAATCCTATGATCGCATTCCGTAGCTGAATTCGTTTACTCATAAATGCTGAAATCATTAAGCTGAGCTACTATTTTATTTATAAATAGCAACATAGAACAGAAAGAAACAAGTTTATTCTAAATCCTCAAAGTCATCGGTTCACCAATACACATAAAACTCAACTACGAGTAAATGCCACTGCTTCTGTAAGTAATTACAATTCGACTATCTTACATAAGGACTGAATACAACACACTCTTTTCTCGGTACTTTTTTGTTTATAGAAAGGTATGGATAAGAAATAGTTTTAGATAAATAAATGGTAATTTGTGCATGCTAGACATGTGAAACATATTATAGTAGGTTTCGTTCACATAATTATTTGTTGATTGTTTGAATTTTTATGGAACAAGAATGATATAATAAATTAGAATTAGAGAAATTATATCATCGTAGGACCTGCATTTACATTTCATGTATCGTTAGATACACTTTCGATGCGTATCATTCATTTGTAGATCAATTACTATAGACTTATTTTACAAGTTGCTGGTTGGGACTTTTCATAAAAAAAATACGTGTAATGAATGATTGTATATTTTCAATATGCCTTTCATTTTTCTAGATATTTCTTCCTAATAATACCAAATATAGAGAATGAATATTTACTGTACGACGGTATGTAAAATCTTCATAATTTATCGTTTTTAAGTAGAATATTTATTGCATAGGTTTTGTTAATAATACTCATAAGCGTATTGGTTTTTCTTCTCTCAAGAAACTTTGTATAGTAAATCATTTTTTTATTGAAAGATTATGAAAGTTTTCATGTAAGTTAGGAAGACTCTTATCAAATAAAATAATATTTACTTTATTCAAATGATGTCTTTTTCAAATCAGTGCTTATTTTTATGATTCAGGAATTAAGAATATTAAATGAGCACTATCATTAACTTTAGCTAATGCCATTCCATGTTCATTAAATAGAATTTCACTAATGGCTGTATTGTTTTGTTTAATCAACCATGTATATTTTGGATCACTTTGTAAGTAATGTTGTAATACAGCTCGAATTAAATTTCCATGCGTAAAAACAACTATTGATACTTCTCTATTCTCTTTTATACTTTGTTGTTCAGCTTGCTCAATGTATAATTTTAAAAACTCGATAGCACGTTTTTGCAACATTCGTATTGATTCACCGTCAGGAGCCCTAAAGTCAACATGTAATTTATCCATTTTTTGCATGATTTCATCAGTATAGCATTCTCGACGATTCAGTCCTTCCCATGAACCTTGTGATTGTTCTAAAAGTGCATTTGATGTAATTAATTTAGATGGATCATTATTCGTGATTTCTAAAGCTATATCCGCTGTTTGTTTTGCACGAACTGCTGTTGAACATAGTAGATGATCATATTTCATATTTTCATATTTTAATCGTTTGCCTAATAGAACAGCTTGTTCTTTTCCTAATGGTGTTAATGGACATGAAATATTTTGACCACATATATAAGTACTGGCAAGATTAGCTTCTGATTGGCCATGACGAATTAAATAGAGATGTACTCGAGCAATAGGATTTGTCATTATTCTTATTTTGTTATCTAGAATAAAATAAAATGGAATTAATAAATTTAGTAAAAGAAATAACTTAAAAATATTGTTTATAATATAGAAGAATTATGTTTCATATAGTCGTTAAAAAATATAAACTCAAGAGATTGTGATCGATTACTTTTTCTCAGAGAGACAAGAAAGGAGAAGAAACGAACAATCAGTCTGCCCCCGAGAAATACACGAGCAGAGGAAAATTACTCTTTAAGCAACTTGATAATGCTCTTATCATACTTTTAAGAAAATTATGAATAGTAAAAAAAGAAAATTAAGATAAAAAATTAATTAAAATGATAAGCAATATATTGACATATTTGGCGATAGAAAGATTTTCTATTTTGTTTTCTATTCAATAAGTAAATTAACACATTCTCGTTGGTCATTCACCTTGCTATTATCAGTCAAATATGAGAACTGACCATCTGATTAGCTTTCAACCTACTTGTAGAATAGAATGAAATAATGCTTGTTTATTTTTGTACAAAAAAATATAAAATCTTAAAGATTGATCAGTTAATTTACGTAGGCTAAGTATTCGTAGTTTCATGTATAGTTTCGAAAAAATATAAATCGTAAAAATAATGACTATACTATTACCAGCTCATGAATCATTACAATATTTGATAAAAATTCCCTAAGATGCTTTAAAATCAAGCAGAAAAAAAGCATCATTCAGAGTATTTCGAATGACACGCAATGTCCTATGGGGTTTTTATTCTTGACTATTCTGCTTTGTATTTGCACAATCTTTGAAGAAATCGAATCCATAAGGAATAATATCAGAAGATGGAAGTAACACAGATTACCTACTAAATATTATCGATGCAAAAATTTGATATAGGCATGATTTTATTTCAGTGGCAGAGTAAATTTCAGTAAGCCACAATTTAGTAGAGATTTGTACGATACGATATTGCTGTATTCTAGTTATTGAAAATAAAGCTTCTAGTGTGTTGTTCTGTGCTTGATAACAAGTAAACGCCTACACAGAATAGAAGCCCACCCTCCCCCTGGATTAGATTTCTCCATTGAAAATCAAGATTTACTTCATGAAAAATGAACTAAACCCGATGAAAAATGAAAGAATGAACATTTCCCTATCACATAACGCAAAAACTGGCATCAGGGCATGCTTTGTCACAAAATTATAGCTTGCGGAACAAAGACACCCCCCATGGGCTTCTATTCTGTAGGGGGCTTAGTTATAAATAAAATGAAAGTCACTTTTAACTTACGTTTTTAGAAATGTTTCGAATATCGATAGCTCGAACATCAACTCTAACCATCGAAATGTGTATGTAGCTGCTAGTTTTTTTCTTTGGGCACATCAATAGAGCTTCGTTCATTGATTCATCATGTTCCACTTTTATGAGCGATTTAAGGTACAATTTTATTTGATTGAGATCGAATAAAATTGCCTTGATTTTTCCGTAACATTTTAAAATCATCCATTGACACAAAGCTACATTTTTTTTCAAAATCAATCAGTCGCATTCATGTGCAAAATAATAAACGCCCTTTTTTCTTTTATATTCAACTTCATTTTCAAAAGAATTGCTGGAGTATATTGCAACGATTTGTTGACTTGCTGTAATTGAATCAATGAAAAGCACACATTTTGTCTTAACATGTGTAATAAAATCAACATATTACCCAATACTAGTAAATATTGTGATTGGAATCAGAGACCGAAATCGAATCGAATTGCCGAATAATTCGATTCAATTCGATTCCGAATGGAACTTCAAAACTGCCGAATCGAATCGAATGAATAAAAAATAATTGAAAAAAAGCCGAACCGAATCGAATGAATAAAAAATAATTGAAAAAAAGCCGAACCGAATCGAATGAATAAAAAAATAATTGAAAAAAA